CAGCAATGGTGGGTCACCCCCACATTTTGGCAAGTGTTTTTTGAAGCACGTGCAGCCAGGGTTGCCCCACTTCCAAACAGCCTGAACAGTTCATTTTTTTCCTAGAAATAGTTCAAAATGAATCTTTTATGGCATGGCGTCTTTCTATGGTAGAGAGCGATTGTCCCGGCATGCTTTCAAGGATGATGAATTCTTAGTTTAGAGAAACAGAGCTGTTGAATTAATTTTTTTTTAATTATATGAATCCATCACAGTGAAAGAAAAAAAAAAGTAAAAATCAGTCTTGGTTTAAATCAACAAGAGGGTGCAATTGAAAAGGGACAGAATGGTCTTTTAAGAGTTTCTCTGCTTCTTTCTAAGAGATATATATTGAAAGTTTCAATGTAAATCAGAATAAGTTTTCCAACATGACCATTTCAACAACTGCCAGAAAAAACGTTCCCCTTGGCAGGGCCGAGACCAGCGCTGAGCCTTCTGGCTGTACAACAGCATTTGTCTGGAGGCTGTAAAGCTATAACCACGCAGGGTCCCTGGGGATGGACACTATCATGCTTCGCAAACAAGGTTTTACTCACATTTATCAGCTGTAGCAAAGGAACAAGGACCTGGGTTTATGTGTGGTCAGGTTCTCAAACAAATATAGAAATATATATTCAAGCTATCTATGAAAACAAACATCTGGCAGCTTGGCCAAAACCAATATACAGAGGGACGCCAGCTCTCCGCTTTTCTGTCTGCAATACAGCGGAGCAATCCGCAGGGGCTGCATTGCATTAAACGGATTTAAGCGGTGCGCCCCATCGAGGGGGTGTGCGCGTGCGGTTGTGTGCACGGAGGTGTCTGCTGCTGTCCTCCTGCTTCAGAGGAAGAAATCCATTCGAGCATCCACTGCCATCGCATGCCCTGTGGATCTCCCTTCAGCGGTATCCCACTCCCCTCGATTTTCCTCCACAAGCGCAGAAAAGTTCAAAGATGATCATAAGGTGCTATTAATGATTAATTTTTTTCTTTTTTTATTATATAGTGCTTGTTTTCCTGCTGGTCCTGCATTGATTCCCTGGCAGCTTTCTGCTTCGTCAGAGGGATGCTCAAGTGGCACTTGCGGACGTGCCGCAGCACGAGGGCAAATGTCACTTTTCAGCAGCTCTTGCGTGAAACAGGGAGAAGGGGAGTGAAGGGCAATGGCATGCTCAAGCTCAGCACTACCTCCCAAATTTTTGTATGGGTTAGAGAGACACCTTGGACAATGTTTACATAAATGCCTGCATATAAAAACCAAATTCACTGGCTGACCTCACCAGCTGCCCTTGGTTGAATGCTGTACTCCACTAAGGGCTTTAAGGAGCACAGTGATATTTAAAAAACAACAAATAAAAAAAAGAATCAAAGCTACCTGGTGGCTATTCCTACAGCCCAACTGCTAGGAAAACAGGGTTTAATGAAGCTGCCTGGGATCCATCACCACCCCCACGAGTGCAGTATTCAGTCCTTGGCCATGAATAATCCCTGACGCTTCAGGAGCAAAAATATCTCAGAAAACACGACACACCGTGAAACACCATCAATGGACGAGAGAAGGGAAATGCCTGCCTGCCGTCCATGGAGATTGGTCCGCAGTCTGCAGCACAAACCCCCTGATTTCCTTTCCCCAAAATTAAAAACTTGTTTAAAATATTGGTAAGTTATGCTGCCCTTTTTGAAAACCCAGCCGTGTATTTGCTGTAGCAACAGGCAACACAGAACAGCCTCCTCGCTAAATAAAAATCTACCTGGTCCCCATTCATTCTCTCAACGTTCGAGAACTTAAGAGCAGAGGAGCGTAAAATTTCGTCTGCTGCTTTCTGACACGCAGAGGCAGTTGCAAACTCCATGTGGCTTTCTAGGTACATTCCTGTCTGACTGTTTTCCTTAGAAAGAGCAATGCCAACCGCATCTCTCCACTCTCCCACAGCACTTCAGACCTAACAGCAGAATGTAAACAGCACTTCTCCCCAGCTGAAACAGGATCGGTGCTTTCCCATTTCACAAGACGGGGAAAAAAAAAACAACCTCCACCAAATACCAAAATGAGAGAGGTACATAATTAAACAGTTAGCTGAAATAAAAATTCCCAGCGAGGCCGGTCTGCAGTTTCACCCGGTCCGAGGGCACACTGAGCGCTCAGGGGATGTGCCCAGGGCTGGTGGCTGAGGTTTGGTTATCCCCGACCTTGAAATGCAGACACCATCCATCACACGCGTGGGACTGACAGGCAACCTACGGACACGTCCACATGCAGGGAACAAGCCAGTGCCCACCTCCCATCTAGCACAGCTATGGGGTTTCTATATTTTTGTGCTAATTCACAGTCCCACTTCACTGTTGGATGGGATAATAACGGGTCTGAATGCTACAAGGGAGAAATGGAAGGACTAATAAAATATGCAACATCAGTGGGTGTTTTGAGGTTTCTGTTTGTTTGTTTTTTTCTGAGTTTTTTTTTGTTTTGTTTTTGGTATTTTGCAGGGTTTGGGGGAAGAGTGGGTGTTTTGAGGTTTCTGTTTGTTTTTTTCTGAGGTTTTTTTGGTTTGTTTTTGGTATTTTGCAGGGTTTTGGGTTTTTTTTGTTTTGTTGTTGTTTGGTTTGGGTTTTTTTTAGTTTATTGTTTGGTTTTTATAAAAACCTTCATATCCAGCACACAGGAATGCGGGAAGCCCCGTTCCACAGCCCATTAGATGAAGTGGGTGTTTTGAGGTTTCTGTTTGTTTTTTTCTGAGGTTTTTTTGGTTTGTTTTTGGTATTTTGCAGGGTTTTGGGTTTTTTTTGTTTTGTTGTTGTTTGGTTTGGGTTTTTTTTAGTTTATTGTTTGGTTTTTATAAAAACCTTCATATCCAGCACACAGGAATGCGGGAAGCCCCGTTCCACAGCCCATTAGATGAAGGTGACCGGCATCATGATCAAAAGGTTCCCATCCAGCCCAATGACACCCGCGGGACACCCAGCGACGTCGCTGGGGAAAGGTGATGCTTACCGGGTTCTCCGCGCCGGCCAGGCTTCCCCCGCCTCCCCGGAGGGCCTGCGGAAAGCAGAGAGCAGAGGGTTAGCGATGCCCCGCGGGCAGCGAGTTTGGGAGGGGACCCGCCACGTCCTTCCCTTTGGATCCAGACCGCCTCATGTCTTCCCCCCTTTCCCAACTACCGAGAAAATAGCAGGCTGTACATCTTAAATACCACGTTCTTTCACAAAATTTATCGTTTTGGTGAAAAAGCGGAGGCCAGGCTCCTAGGCAAGCCGGGAAGCAAGTTTTGAAGTTATTAGTGTTGCCCATGTAGTAGAGGGAATCAGGTCTTAAATGCTCCAAAAGTCTGCAAAAGACTTTGCAGAGCAGCTGGCAGTCCTGCACAGTCCATGCATGCTGCAAATGGCTGTTACAGTCTTGCAAATCACAATATTTAAAGTATTAAAATGAGGAACAGAAACCCTTTGCTACTAATCGTTATCTGAGTCAGAAAAAGGTTTTGTGCAGACTGCTAACACAGCCCAGATCTGATCATACCTTTGTAATTTCAGACTCAGGTTTCAGATATAAAACTTGCTTGTATTCTTACCCTTCTGAGCAGCAATAGCTAAACAATCAAGAAAATACCATAAATGACAAAATACCATTAATCAAGAAAAAAAGGCACTTAAACAATAAACACGGATACAGAACACTGCTCCAGCACACGTCGAGCACCCAGCTCCCTGACAAAGCCGTAACGACGTGTCCTTCATGCTGTTAGTTGACATGTTGCAGCCTCTCTGCTGCAGCAAGTCTTCCCTGCCCGGGAGCCGGCGGCATCCACGCTCCCACAACACTCGTGTTGCCAGATGGGGACAAAAAGTCACTTTTTGTAGCCTTCTGCAGCAGGTCAGCCAGCTCCGGAGAAGCATTTGCTGGGTGACAGCAATGTTAACAACAAAAAGCAAGACCTCGCTTTTTATCTGTGAAACTACACTGCTCCCTCTCCTTTCTGCTGCTTTTTTTTTTTTCCCGCTTTAAGGGAAAAGGACGATAAACAAAAGATCATTAAATACTTCTGCCCTCCTATCAAGATTTCCTTCTGCATAAGCATCTCTCTGCCCAAACATGTAGCTGTGTCTCCAGCCATGGCCTGGAGTTTTTACTCTTTAAAGTTAGGATAAACTGTACAGCGCTCCCTCTCCCCAGCCCCTCTGCACATCTCCAGCAGACACCCCGGCCCTCGCAGGCGGGCTACGGCAGGAGCTCCAAGCCCCACGTGCTCCTCTCACTATGGGGATGGCCACCATAGGGGCTACTTCGCAAGGGCTCGGTAGAAAACGTCTGTCGGAGCTCCCTAGGCGACTTGCTCACCATTTTCTGGGGGCAGGCGGGGGGGAGGCGTATTTTCAGACTCCTTAATTCTTGAAATCAGGTAGATGATTATACCACGTTACACTCAAGAGGAACGTTTACTCCCTTCCAGCCTGAAGTCAAGCTGCTCTGGAGGGGAACCATGACTTTGATGAAGCACCTTTTCCAACCTCGGAGACCAGATGTGACCGAGCGATTAAAGCTAATCTACCTGTACCACTCTCTTGGCTAATTGTGGTAGTCTGACCCCTGGGCAGAGCCTGAACCTCCTCAGCAGGCTGCAGCCTCCCCATGCCCCCTCCGCTCCCCCGGGGTGCGGGGGGCTGCTTTAAACACCAGCCTTGCTTAATCCTGCGGTGTCTTTTGATAGACTCCTCCTGGATGCATTTAATCTAGAGCGACTCGCTCAGTAGTGATTTTGCTTTTACCTCTTCTGCTAGCAGCGGTGAGAAAGCACAGGGTTTCTTGGGGAGTAGGAAGTGTCCTAATGAAGCTGTAGGAGAGGGAGACCGAGTTTTTAAACAAGTGACTAATGAGTTGGTAGCGATGCTTTTAGGCAATTTAGAGGAGGGCTGATATCGAAGGGCAAATGCACGGAGCTCCCACGTAAAGCTCAGGTTGGAGCCTTTCAACTGAGAACGTGAGAAACCTGTGAGAAACCAAAGATTCTGTTTAAAAGGACATTTAATACTGATTATTGTATTTTTTTTTTAAACTTAAGGGATTTCTTAATACTTCACGCCAAAAGGGAAGAATTGGCTATTGCCTACACTGGCACAGGTTGCCCAGAGAGGTTGTAGATGCCCCATCCCTGGAAACATTCCAGGTCAGGTTGGACGGGGCTCTGAGCAACCTGCTCTAGTTGAAGATGTCCCTGCCCACGGCAGGGGGGTTGGACTAGATGACCTTTAAATGCCCCTTCCAACCCAAACCATTCTATGATCTTATGATTCTTTCCCTACAGTCTGCAAGGAAATCTGTAAGATGGGTGCAGCACATGGAATTACAAGTATGGCATGCTTGTGGCAACTGTGAGATAAACCAAAGTGGAGAGAGAGAGAAAAAAGAAAAGAAAAAAAAAAAATCCATTCTCATCAGTTTTACTTGTTTTTATCTGAAAGCAATTTGGTCAAAAGAAAAAAACAAGTATTTTGGAAACAACATCTAGAATCCTGCTGCCATTCAATAACTGAATATGGAAACGTCTCTGAGGAGAGAAAAAATTTAGTGGGGATTAAAAGGAAGAACATGACACCCAGTACCCAGTTTGGGCAAGACTTGCGAGCGAGCCGCAATCCTGCGATGCAGATGTGGGCGAGCAGAAGGAGAGAGACCTCCCGGCTCCCTGCAGCGAGAGGACAGCACGCAGGAGTAACCCAGGAGTCATTAACACCATCTGCAACCTTGTCCTGTGCAGATGTGATTAAGTCCATGGTCTGCACAATTGGAAATTATTATTTTAGCAATTTCTAACCTATGCTGGGAGGTCAGCTTTGGATACTGCTAAAAGAGCTGGGCATAAAGTGAATCCATATTACACCTCTCATTTCCAACCCCTTTAAGAGACTACAAAGGAAATCAGGGAGGCCTGGGAATTTGTTTGAAGATAAACGTTCACTGTAAACTGTTACCTAATGACTCCATCTCCCAAGACCTTGCAGTTTCATGCGTGTTCAATATAATTAAGATTTATGTTGCATTAATGTCAATTGGGTAATAGCTGAGCCTTTTCTTCTAACCGTGCCAGCTCCGCTGTATCAGTTCTGGGAGTTCTTTATTTACATTGTTATGAAAGACGGTTTTGGAGAAGAGAATGAATACAAAGCATAAAACAGTCTATTTTTAAACAACTTGTCACGTTCAAGCTAAACAGCCTTAATCCAGGGCATAATACGCAATTTCTGACAACACCATAAGCTTTGCAGTGAGATAATAGATTTAGTAACGCAAAGACAAAGGAAGAGAATGAAATATATTGCTATTTGGAAGCATTATGAGGAAGAACTGATGGGTGCATCTAAAGAATAGCTACTCAGAAACAAGGTAAGAAGTTCAGAGTACACAGTCTCAATTGACTTAGCTGTTCTGCTGGGTAGCAGCCACTTACGTCATCTACTGTGGGTGAGTAAATGAAATATTAAAAGTCAACATCACTTTATAGTTCATGTAAAATATCATTAAGAGCCAAAACCACGTACTTGTTCACAGTGCAGTAAGTTACCCCCGTCTGAACTAATTTACCCACTGCAAATCGAGCTGCTCAATGAACTCCGTAATCCATCAATACCAGGAAAACAGGTCTATGGCACTACACGTGCTTAACGTCTTTTCACTCCTCGTAATTAAATCAAATCTGGTGCTTGACCCACGTTCCCAGGCGTGGGAGGCTATAACGCTGCCTCCTGTCCCTTCAGCTTCGTGGGCAAATTGCTGCCTGCCGTACTGTTGGGCATAATAAGGTAAATCGATGTTCATCAAGAATAAGGTGAGTTTAAAATGCCAGCAAGAAAAAGAGCTCCAGCCCAGCAAAACCTCACTGAAGTGACAAGATAGCTGATGCTTTTTAAATGTTAAGCCAGTGAAGCAATTTTTACCCAAGAACTTGTGGCACCAGGCTTATGCTATCTTTCCACTTACGCTTCTCCTACACATCACCCTTCTCCACTGAGAACATATACACAGACATATCAACCATAAATCCGTGCCCATCTCTTTCTTCAAGCCATGTGCTGCTGGGGCCCTCGGGGACTTTTTTTTTTTTTTTTGATATGTTGATACAAAGAAGTAGTTGGGAACAACATTCAAGTAAAAACCTTGGCCAAATGAAACGAAGACCTATCTTACTGGATATCTATAAATCAGAGGATTTTTTTTCCCTTGCAAGCATGACAGTAAGCTGGTGATGTTGTGACCTCTTAATTACAACTGTCGAGCTTACTTTTAAGGGCTTTATTTTCTAGATGAACTCATATCTAACTCATCGTGCTCTAACACGGGATTAAGTTTTACACCATTTTGGAGGGTCCACCCACTCGCATAATTTGTTGTTTTGTTTTGGGTTTTTTGGGGTTTTTTTTGTTTTTTTTGAGAGCTTGAAATGGTTTCGATTCTGTTTCCCCTTCTTCCCTTTTGGCATTTTTCAAGTTGCCTTCGATATATCAGTGTTTTTTCAGTTAAAAATGAGTCAACCAGAAGAATAGCTTGAACAAATTGGTTGGTTCAGCCACTCACAGAAAAGTACCTTTTTTTTTTTTTTCTTTTCATATGGCTTTACTTAGAAGGAAGGAAGGAAGGAAGGAAGAACTTCGCTTTACTTAGAAGGAAGGAAGGAAGGAAGAACTTTGCAGCAGCGTACCGCAGGGTCTGGTACTGAGCACGAGGAAACCGTGGCCCCGGTCTAGCTGGCTGTTCCTGCACGAAGCCCAATTTACTTTCGTGTTCCCTGGGGAAAAGGTTTATGGTTCATGAGCAGAAGGCAGATTCTGCGATGCTTGCTCAGCTGATAGTCATCAGGTATTCAAGTTGGGCTGCGGGCTCTGAGACCACAGATCTAAGATCGAACAGTTTTGGGTCACAACACTTTGCATGAACCTTTTTGGCTTTGGATTCCAACGGACCCAAAGATTCAAAGCAAATACCAGACGCAGACTGGAAACATGCAGCACCTACAGGCTACAGAAGGTTTCTGAATAAAACAAAAA